GTGTGTGTGTGTGTGTGTGTGTGTGTGTGTGTGTGTGTGTGTGTGTGTGATGCAGACTGGAGTGGCTGGGTCTCTGCTGCCCTTCAGAGGCCAGGCCCTTATGACACTCAGGGGATGGTCCTTCTATCGCTGGGAAGGAGGGGCTCGAGGCTGGCAGAGCTCTGGTAGGAGGAGACCTGTCTTTGATTCTTTGATGCTCACACTTTGTGGACCCCTGGGGAATGCCTGAGTCATCGCTGAGCCGGCAAACATATTTAGCTCCTTTCATTGTCCTTAATAAATCAATTTCTCCAGGTCTCTCACACCTGCCGCTAGGCTGCTGCCTGCCTGTCCCCGTCTTCTGCCCCTTGGCATCCAGGTGCAGGGCCCCAGTGCCAGCCCTGGGTTACCCAGCGTTCTGCCACTCCTCAGGCGTCAGGCACGGGTCCCCTTCGCCTTCTCCTGCTCTATCCCAGGGCATCCTGTGCCAAGCTTGTCCTCGTTCTGCGATGGGCTCTGTACAGCAGCCCTGTTACTGGATCTCGTCAGAGCTTTATGAAAAGGGGCTCGGTGTTCTCAGAGATGCAAGGGGCTGCAGCATTGCGCACATAGCTCAGCTCTTGCCAGGGCCCAGTCCCCCGCAAACTTGCATCCTCTTGGCCCACTGGGGCTAGTTTTGGGGGTCCAAGGGGGTCCAAGAAATACAGTGCCTTGTTATGCATCCTTGTCTTGACTCCTCCTGGTCCCACTGGCTGAAGAGCCAAGCTTCCATTTTGCTTATCTTTAATGGGCACCTCTTTCAAGAAGCCTTCCCAGATCTTTACCCCTCTACCTCCATGAATCTTTCCTGCTCTAATGGCCGCAACCTGTTTTGTATCTCCCTGAAGGCATGTACACATTCTATAATAATAATAATTAATAATAATAATAATAAAATAATAAAATAGCACATAGCATAACCCTGAGCAGGTGCTCAACACTGTTCTAAGCATTTTACATGTATTTACTCCCATTAGATGGGAAACCTGAGGCCCAGAGAGCTTAGGAAATTTGCTTAAGACACAGCCATAGAGTTGGGCCTTGAACCCAGGCCCTCTGGGTGGTCCTCACGACTCCTGCGGTGGCCTTTTGCAGCAAGAGGCTTTTGTGGCAACTCCTCTTTTGCTATGCCCCACCCCCCCCATACCTGACTCAGTCCATCCCAGGGCAGGGGCTGTACTGTGCTCATGTCTGAGAACCCCGTGCACACAGAAGCCCCCGTTAAAGGTTTGTGTCGTGGAGGTGGCTTGGCCCAATCCTTCAGGAGGGAAGATCACACCTGGAGAGGGTAAGCTACTTGTTCAGGGATCCAAAACCAGGAAGTGAGAGAGCTGGGTATCCTGACACCCAGGCTGAGCCCAGCCAGAGGTGCAGGGAGGCCCGTGCTCATCTGTGCCATGGGTGTCTCTGGGCTGCTCGAGCCTGCAGGTCCCAGTAGACCAGGTGCCTCCCTCTCCAGGCTGCCCAGGCCAAGGCTCTACTTTGGGCAGAGGCTCTATTCCTTCCAGAGGCAGGGTGTCAGGGATCCGGTCTGGTTGCTTTGTGGGAACTTGTCATTCGCGTGTGGTGGGAGCCCCCTGCTGCTCAAAGCGAGGAGTGGCAAAGTGGTGGGAAAGTGGGCAGAGGCCACCCAGGGGAGGGGCGAGGGGGTCCGGGCCAGCAAGTCAGAGCCTACTCTGGGTTCCCGGATTGTGAGGTGGCCTTGCCTGCCTCTCCCCTCACTCCCCGCACCCCACAGCAGCACGACTCTTCCCATAGTTCCCTGTGCCTCCAGACATTTGCACCTGCTGATGCTGGACCCAGGGGGCATTTTCAGTTGACTTCAGTTTAACCAACAATTATTGTGCACCTACTGTGTACTAGGCACTGAGCAGTAAGTCTGGCCTGGGAGGGTTCACAGTGTGTGTGTGTGTGTGTGTGTGTGTGTGTGTGTGTGTGTGTCGGGTAACAGACATGAGGTGAACTCACTGCAATCTCAGGTGTGTACCCTTTCCCTCACCTGGCTGCCAACACGCAAGCACAGCTCCTCTGAGAAGCCTCCCCGGGATGTCCTCTACACAGCCCAGCCTCCACTGGCCCCTGTGTCCCATCTATAACAGCACAGGTTGGTCTGAGCTGCCACTGATCTTTTGCACCTATCTCCCCCCACCTGATCTGAGCTCCTTTTGAGGGCGAGGGTTTTGTTTTGATCATCTTTGGATCCCTGGCTTTGACTGTGGAGCTGGTACACAGTAGATGCTCAATAAACAGGGACCGAATGAACGAATATATGGATAAGTTGATCAGTCCAGTGCCTTAAGGTCTTTACCAGTGACTCACTGGTAGAATTTCAAGCTGGGGGCTGGGTTAGGGTATGGGAGCCACCTGGAGGGGGCTGCCTAGAGTCTTAGAATTCAGAACCACCAGAGTGTAAGCCCCATGTGGGCAGGCATTCTATCTTATTCCACTAGTGCCTAGAATAGTGCCTGGAACACTGGAGGTACTTCATAAATATTGTGGAAAGTACAAATAAATGAAGGTTACGGAATTCAAGCCCCTTTGTAACACCCTAAGTGACCGCTGGAGCCAGCCTGTGCTTGCATCCCTTCATAGACAGGGAGCTTATTACCTCTCGCTTCAGACAGCAGCTCTTTCTCTTTAGACAGTGCTGCCTGTTGGAAAGTTCTTTTGCCTTCCTCCAGCCTAGGCAGAACCAGTTCACCCTGCCCCTGATCAGAGGGAGTTCTGTGGCAAATCTCGCTCCCAGGGATGTCTGCCCAGTGTGGCAGCCCCAGTGTCCCGAGGATGAGGGTCCAGAGCCCTTCAAGTGCTCTCTTCCACGTCTGGCCCTCCCGCCCTCAGCTGGGAAGGCGATGAAGGTGAAGGACCAGGGTGGAGCCAAGGATGGCAGATGGGGTCACAGATAGGACAGAGCTCCACTCACAAGGTGGATCACGAGCTTTATTCTCTCTTCTGAGTGATTCCCAAACAGTCACTCATGCCCAGAAAATCACTGATTCCGCCCCCTCAATGATGGGGGAGGAGCTGAGGACCAGAGAGGGGAAGGGAGTGGACTAAGATCACACAGCCAGTACATGCCTGTGGCAGGAGAGGACCTCAGACCCCATGAGCCTTAGACCAGTGCTCCTCCCCTGGACCCTGGATGCCCCTTAATGGGCCAATGAGGTGGCAGAGGTGGCACTTAGCCCCAGGCTGACATGGGATCTGTGGAAGTCCTGAAACATCCTGCACGGCTTCCTCCTGCACCCCCCAACCCAGATCCTCTTCAGTGCAATATAATTACAGGCACTTGCACACTCCCAGAAACAAGGGTCTTACCACTTCACAAGGCATCCTGACCGTGTGGAAGGCGTGCATGTGGGGGTGGGAGTGGAGGAGAGGAGAGGTTGTCTCCCCTCCCCTGGGGAACCACCTTGCTCCCGCTTGCCCACTCAGGCTAGCGTTGGGGCAGAGACAACCCCATATATCCTGCTTTCCTGCCAGGGAACTTCCCTCCAGGGGCTCCCCCAGGGCCCCAGTGAGGGGGTGAGAAGTGCTTCTGAGAATTCACGGAATCCTCCTCCAGGCTGGGGCCTCCCTGGAGACAGAGCTGCCTGCCAGTGTGCTGGGAAGTCAGCTCAACTGTCTATAGTGCTGCTGCAGAGGGTTTCGGGATGTGAAGACCCAGCTAGGCGCCCCTTACCACCAAGGGACTCCAGCTCAGCAGTCTCGCAGGAAAGCCTTGGCTGAGACTGCCTCGAACTTTTGTGTCACTCATTCGCTTGGCTACTGCCTCCAGGAAGTCCTCCTGGTAACCACATCCACAAAGCTCTCTCTTTTCGGCTTCTTGATTGTACCCCTTGGGCTGCTTGAGTACATCTGTCTGGGATGTTCTCACACATTTTCTTGAGGTGTCCCACCTGGCCCTCCCCTGAAATGGACATCCTGAGGGTAGAACCCACTCTGCTCTCAGCTCCCAGCAGCTTTCAGTCCAGAGTCCCCTCCAGGTCAGTCAACAAGTGCAGACATCTCCAGCCAGAAGATCCTTAGGGAGGCCTGGTGCACTCTTGTCCTTCTGCCTGGAGAAAGCAGTCCAGCCACTGGAACCTGCACTGGGGTTGTGCCTACTGTGACCAGGCAGTATGGCCGGGAGCACAGAGCCTGAGGGCCCGAGACATTTCTATCCAAACACCACAGCGTTCCAAGAACCAGAGGAGGAGTGTGACTTGGGCAGAGGGCACACAGCGCTCTGGAAACGGAGCTCAGGAACCTCACAGTCCTTCCTACTGTGAGGACTGGCGGTATTTCGGAGTGCAAGGAGACATTCACAGAAGAGGAAACTGAGGCCCAGAAGGAGAACAGGGGGCCGGGTTCTGAGGCTGGTTTCTCTTCAGCTGTTTTCCTCAGGCCTTTCCTGGCAGCAGCTGGGTGCCAAGGGGCCTCATTGCTGGCTCTGAGCCCTTGGCAGTTCCCGCCCACCCTCCTGAGCTCTGTCTCCCCCATCTTGTCAACTTGAAGTAATGGGGGGAGGGTGACAGTGTCTGCAGGCCAGGACAGGGTGCCCTGGGTTGGGAGGTGGGTCTCTAGGTACCACAGTCATGGGGTTTCCTGGACGCCCAGCCCCCAGAGCCACCTCCCAGAAGGCTCACTGCTTGCTGGCAATCTTCTTCTTCCGAGCAGAGACCAGGTCGTAGAAGGGGACACGGGTGATGCTGGCTCTGGAAGGAGAGAAGCGAAAAGGTTTCAGGGCCGAGCTGGCCATCGAGGTGGTCTTATCTTCCAGGGCTTGTAACAGGGTGTGGGTGTCCCAGGGAGGGGTCAGCCTGCCCCTCTACAGGCGAGTCCAGCCTTGTTGGTCTAACCCAGAGTCCCATGGGCAGGGTCGGAGAAAGGGAAACTGAGAGCCTTGGGAATCCTGCCCCCAAATGTCCCTGGACCCCTCTTCAAACTCCCATCGAACTCTCCCATCGAAGGAGGTAGAAAGAGCCTGGGTAGAGTCAGCAGACCTGCTTGCTTGGCCTGGCTCTGTCCCTCACGGTCTATGTGGCCCTGGGCCAGTGCCTTCCCTCTCTGGACCTCAGTTTCCTCATCTGTAAAATGGAGGTGAGAATGGATTTGGCCTGGCAGCCTCATAGGGATGCTGCAAAGCCTGAGGGAAAAGACCCTGCGAGTCTCTGGGACATGGCCCAGGTCTAGAGCCTAGTCCTGTGTCCTTCTCTGGTCTACAGGGTGCGCCCTTGCCTGCATCTCCCCACTAAATCAGAGTCAAGGTTGTCATCCTGCTCCTCACCCAGCTCCCTTTTACTCTCCCTCCGTTGCCTGTCTTGGTAAAACCAGCCCCTCCACTGTGCCTTTCTCACCTGGCTACACCCCTTCTCTATTTACCAGTCTGTGGCTCCCCAGTGCCCACAGGAGAAACCCTATCTTGTTGCCATGGCGACCAGGCCTTGCCACCCTCTGCGGCTTCATCTCCCACGGCTCAGCCCCCACAGAGCCCCGTCCCTGCACAGCCAGGCCCCTGCACTGCTTGGCATTGCCCGCCCCCACACTGCCCAGCAGCAGCTACCCAGGACTTGGAGGTGCTGTCCAGGAGGGCCACACACCGACTTGCCCTCCTATCTTTGCCTGTCTGCATTGGTCCTTCCACCTGGAAAACCCTTCCCTTCATCTCCAGCAGGTCTTCCCAGGCCTTAACAAGAACGCCATTCCCGAGCACTTACCAAGTGCCAGGTGCTGGGCTAAGAGCTTTACGTGCCATGTCTCGCTTGCTCCTCCCACCAGCCCCATGAAGTTGGTGCCTCACTCCCCTGTGTCCTGGGGCCTGGCATTGTGCCTGCACAGAGGAGGTGCTCACAGAACATCGGTGGGAGGGATTTTCATTCCAGAAACAGGAGGGAGATTTCAGACAAGGACACAAGGCCCCGAGAGAAGCAGGGACTTCTGGGAAGGGACAGGAAGCCCACCCCTCACCCCTTACCGGATGGCCTCGATCCATTGGTCCCGCTCCTCGGCACTGGAGGCCGAGATCCGGTAAGACTCATGCTTGCCCTCCACCACCTTGCCGTCACCATCTGTCTTGCAGGCTTTTATCTTCTGGCCCCGGCAGCTGGGGTTGTAGAGCTCCAGGCAGAACTGTGGGGAGGTGGCCAGGTGAGGGGAGGGGCCGGGGTGGGAGGAGAGGGCAGCTGGGGTGGGCTCTCCAGGAGCCTCAGAGAGGACTAGATACTTGGGCAAGACCAGAGCTCCGACAAGCAGCAGCACAGCCACCCGCCCCAGGCCTGCTTCCTGTGAGAGGGGAAGGGGCAGGCAAAGGGTCCATGGCCCCAGGAGGGAGACTGAGGCAACCCTGAGCTCCCAGGAAGGTGTGCTAGCCTCCTGGAGAGCCCAGCTACCCTCTCCCCGCACCTTGTTTCAGAAATTCTCCCAGCTGCTCTGGCCTCAGGCCCCCACCCCAACACTTACTGGCTTCTTGGGGTCATCCACCTTCTGCACTGAGAGGTTCTCAAGGGGTATGATTCCCCGTGGCTCCTTGTCCTGCAAGGAAACAGGAGGGAACTTCAGGCTCAGCAAAGGGAGCCTTGAGGCAGAAGACAGGGAGTGAACTTGGGCTTCTCAAACCCAGGAGGAGTGCACCCAATTCCCAGACTCTGTGCAGCCCTGGAAAGTTACGGGGAGCAGCACGGGAAGAGCCCTGGCTGGGAGTTAGGAGACCTGATTTTAAGCCCTGCCTCTGCCTTGGCCCTTGGCGCAGCCCCTCCTCCTCTCTGTAGCTTAATTTTCCCCATCTGTGAAATGGGTGTGGAGGTGGACTGCATGAACTTAAAGGGGCCCCCAGCTCTACGAGTCAACTGCTTGGTGGGAGTCCGGAAGGGGGTGGGGGGCAGGGGCAGGCTCACAGTGGTGAACTCAAAGTAATAGAGGCAGCTGTCGGTCAGGATGAACCAGCGCCGTTTCCACGTCTTCACACGGCCCCCTGAAAGAGGTCAACAGCGGAGTCAGTCAGTCCTGGGCCACTGACACTTCCCTCTGCAAAAGAGTAGGGATGCCTCCCCCTGGGCTGTCACCTGAGCACCCTAACCCCAAGCCTGACACACTTTCCCCCACATCTGTCCCCTCTTCACTCAAAAACCTTAGTGGCTCCCGTCATCCCCAGGCTTCCCCTGAGCTGCTTCTACCCGACATTCGAGGCTCCCCCATGGTCAGGCCCCAGGACAGTGGCCGGCCGGTCCCTTTCCTGCTGCCTTACCCCCTCGGTTGAGCCCTTGGCCTGCTCCCTGCCTGGCGCTGGGCCAAGCATTTCCTTTTTCATTTGCCAGGCAATGTTCAAGAGGGTTCGAAAAATATTCACTGTTAACCCCCATGACCACCTACGAGGAGGGGACCATTAGCAACCCCGTTTTATAGATGGGGGGACCAAGTCTCTGTTCAGGGTCCTGCAGCAGAGCTGAGATTCAAACCCCAGTGTCCTAGCTCCACAGCCAAGGGCTTGGTCATTTTGCCACACGTGCAGCCCTCCCAGTGATTGTTTATCCTGCCCATTTCACAGCTCAGCTGGGACCTGCACACCCCCACACGTTTGTGTGCGCTGCGGTTGAGCAACCCAACACCAGCACACAGGTGGAGGGGCTGGGGCAGCTTAGAGACTCTCTGCGGCTGAGAACAGTCAGTTGGGCAAGAAGGGAGGCCGTGTGGTCTACAGGAGAAGGAAGGGATGGGATGTGGGCATGGAGAGGCGAAGGGCCTGCATGCACACCCCAGGCCAAGGCCCCCGCTCCAACACAAGGCGAGGCACTGTCCTCACCTGACTCTGAAGGCCACTGTGCCTGGCTGGGCTGCCCCTACTGGGTAGCACCCGTGAGTGTGAGTGGAGGCAGGGGCAGGTTTCTGGGCCCTGCGGTTCCCCTGTCAGATTCTGCAGCCGCAGTCCCCACTACCATAGCACCCACCCACAGCTTCTCTCTGCAAGTCCAAGGCCCTCCCTGCCCCCTAGTTGGGTTGAGGGAAGGCTCCCCTGAGCCACATCCTGTCGCACTCCCGTCCCCCATCCTTCAGGGGCACCCAATCCTTTGCCCACTAAAATCTGTCACTTGCTGGCTGTGTGGCCTTGGGCAGGTGCCCCAATGTCGCTGGCCCTTGGCTTCCTCAGAAGCCTCCCGGGAAGAGACAGAACTGCAATTGAAGGGTTCCTGGACCTGTCAGCCTCTTATACCCTGCTTGCTGTTCATCCTGCCCCTCCTCCACTGTCCCCTTAATTTCCAGGACAGACAGATGGAGAGACGGGGCAGGAAGATTGCTGCATTGGGAGTCAGGACACCTGGGGCCATCCCCACTCCACCCTGAGGCTGCATGTCAACTTGTGTGTGTGTGTCTGCAGTGTGCCCCAGTGTGCAGGCGTGTCCGTGTGTGTGCCTGCACGTGCATGAGTCTGTCCGCCGTGTGCCCGAGTGTGCATCTTACCCAGCTTGAGTAGCCAGCCCTCGCGGTCAGGGTTGAAGAAGGTGTGAGTGAGATCATTGCCATCGTCCTCAGGGATGGAGAAGGGCTCGCTCTTGATGCTGTCGAAGAGGTTCTGCCCCGAGAGGGAAGGACGGGAAAGGCCAGGCTGTGATGTCCGTCACAGTCTGGGGCCGGTGCCTGGCCTGACCTATGTGGCCTCGGGCAGGTCACTGGACCTTTGGGCAAACTCTTTCCGCTCCTGTTAGTTCATCGTTGGTCCCTGGCCTTCTTGGCGAAACCCTCCCTTGTTCCCCCGAGCCCACTGGTGCTCCCCGCCCCCACCCCCATGTCATGCTCCCTGCTGTGTTCTTAATACCTCAGAGAGACGGTGCCAGCTGCCTCACCCATGGCCCCCATGCTGTCAATATTTCAATGTCAGTTTGCTCACTGCGATGACCTCCCCAAATGGGGGTGCTCCTCTAGGGCAGACCTGGGTGTCATAACCCTCAGGCTTCCAGGGCCTGGGCTAAAGCAGGTTGGTAACTGTTTGCTGACCAAGTGGTTGATGGTCCCTTTCCCACGCCCCTCTAGCATTCCACACCAGTGGCATGAAAACACATGGCAGGACAAGAGCTTTGGCTTTGGTGTCAGGCCACCTTGGTTAAAATCCCAGCCCCGTCACTCAATGGCTGTGTCACCCTGGCCATGTCCCTCAACCTCTCTGAATTGCTGTGTCCTCATCCGATAAATGGAGAGAACAAGGCTGACTGGCCTGGGTTCTGGGGGAGTAAATGGACTACACAGGGTGAGAGCCCTGCCTCTGCCAGTCAGGGGAAAGTGACGAGGAAGGAGGGGTACAGCTCCCACCTACACCCCGACCACCTCTTCTGGGTCAGATGAGTGAGCCAAAGACAGTTATCCCTGTGTCTGAAGGTGTTGGAGACAAGGACACTCGGCTGGGACCTGTACACCCCCACACATGGTCATCTCTGTGTGTGTGTATGCACAAGCGTGTGTGTGTGCACATGTGTGCATGCGTGTGCACACACACACACACACATGCTGTGGGGCCGAGGTCAGGCCCTCCTTAGGCAATGCCCATGGGGAAGGGGTCTCCTTGTCTCCTTAGATGCAGGAGCAGAAGCTTCTAGATGCACCCTAGGTGGGGGGACACAGAGGAGCTACCGGGAGTTGGGGCTGGTTACCTGGGTAGAGGCCTGGCCAAAGGAGAGACTCAGGGTAGAATGCTGACCTTGGCTCTCAAGGGCAAAGGTCTGTTCTGGGTGGGTTCTGATTTTGGGTGTGAGGAGTTCCCAGATAGCAGATTTCAGTTCTCCATGGAGGACTTTCTAGCAGTTAGAGCTACTGAAATAATATGGAAGGAGCGACCTTGTAGGGTAATGAGTGCCTTGTCACTGGAGGTATGCACGCCAGAGCTGAGACCTCCCTGTGGGTGAGTTGTGGATGTAGGCGGTGGATCACCCTTTTGTGTTTTGAACCCTCTGGGGCACTGTGTTCCATGAAAAACATTCCAAACGGTCTAGTTCTGCTTATGAAAACCAGACACAATACTGGGCCTTCATCCTTAAGATAATTAAATAATTTCCTTCTGTTGCATTTGTGTGTGCTGCTGTTCAGATGATTTCTTCAAAATTTTAAATGAAAATTTTCACAAGTACTGTTTGATTCTCCCAAAGTTTTAGAAATGGCATTTGCTGGTTTTTAAAGGTGTTTTCTGACCTGGGAGCTAGAGCGGGGGTAGGGATGAGGTGGGTGGGGTGGGTGGGGAAGGGAGGGCAGAAGCAAGTTTTCCTGGTCTTGACAGAGGTCTCCAGAGTCCCTGGGCCCAGCCAGGTTGTGGGGGGCAGGGGTAGGGAAGAGCGGGAACCTCTTGCTTTTTTTGGAGCCCCTGCACCACCCCGGAGCAGCCAGGAAGCCCCGTTGCCCCTCCCACCCAGGTCCAGCCTGGCCCTGGGAATTCCCAAGTGGCACAGGCTGGTTAAACAAAGGCCTGCGGCAGCAAGGTCTTGTCAGCAAAGCTGTCAGTACAGACAAATATTTGGAAGGCCCAAGGAGGCGGGCAGGAGAGCAGACAGGCTGGGCCCTCGGCCTCCAAGGCGACTACAGGAAGCCCAGCAGCTTCTGCGGGTGCTATATGAGCCTGCACATTCTGCTCCCACAAAGAAAACAGCTCAACTCACCCACATTTCCTGTACTTGGTAAACACCGTCCCTGCTCCGTAAGAAACACCCCGACACCCACCACCACCAAGCCACTGGGTCGGGCTGTCTTCTCCCAGCTGGGTGGAGGTGATCAGACAGACAATGGCCATTTTCTAGTGGTTCTGCTGGCCTTGCATCTGTCTCTCCCCACCTTCTCAGTTTTCCTCTGGGGAATCACCCCCCCACCCCCCCACACACAACAGACACTGTCTGTCCAGGTTGCTCAGGGGGTTGACACCCACTGCCCCCCACCCCCAGGCTCCAGGGCGGGATGTGAATGACTCTCATCTAGCTGATCAGAGCATTTCATCCTGCTGGCCACAGTGACTGGTTCAGGGAGGGACATGTCACCCAAGCCATCCAATAAGCCATAATTCTGGGACTTTAGTTTAAGCTGCTAAGCATGATGGAAGCCTGGAGCTGCCTGGGTCATCTCTGCCACAACTTGGGAAGAGCCTGTTTGAGCGGGACGCTGAGACACTGGAGCAGGTTGCTGAGGGCTGAGAGGCCAGACCAAGTCCTGACCTCACTGCGTCCGGTTCTAGCCAAGCCTGAAGCTGATTGATCTGAAGCCAAATCGATCCCTGATCTTTTCCGTTACATGAGCTGAGATTCCTCTAGCCAGGGAGCGACTGTCAGCAGGGACCCATAGCCAAGTCCTCTGTCTCTAAATCGTGCCTCTATTTTCTGCAGAGGGAAGGGCTCTGGAGTCAAGATAGACGTGGGTTAGAATCTGAACTCCTCCCAAACTATGAGACCCCCGGACCAGCTACCTGTCTTGGAGCTCCGTTTCCTTCCGTGTAACTAGGGATGGTACCTGCTGCCTAATGAAAACACAAAGTAACTAGACCTGGGCCCAGACATGGTCAGTTCTGATGGAGTCACTGAGACAAGGACCCAGGAGGTCTGGGGCTGCCCACGGCGAAAGACGCCCTGAACTGGGAGATAGTTCTCCTGCCCAGGCCTCAGTTTCTCTGCCTGTAACCCCAGAGCCCTCTTTCTTCTCCTCCTCCACCCTAGCTCCTTCTCTGGGCAGCTCTCTCAAGGTGAGTGACTCCTCTCAGTATGTCTCTGGTCCCTGCCAAGTGCCAGGACTTGAAGTGCATGATCTCTGCTTCTCAGAAGAAGGGCGTAAAGTCAGTGTCATCAGCCCACTTTGCAGATGAAGAAACTGAGGCTCATACTCAGGGTCACACAACCATCAGGGCAGAGCTGGGATTTGACCTCTCGTCCTGAGTCCACACCCCTTCCCTTTGCCACGAGTCTCTTAAGCATCACGATGGCCAGAGCCAGCCCTGCTCGACCTGCCTGTGTCTCATTCCCACGGTGCACCTCTCCAAAGCCTTTCCCAGCTGCGCACCCTCACGGTCTGCGAGACCTTGGGGTGACCTCTGTTTAGGTAATGTATCTGCGTCAATTCAATTTCATAAATCAGGCTACTTAAAAGCATTACATGTCCTGGGCAGGGCCCAAGCTGCAGTAGCTTCGTGGAGAACCCTTCTGCAAAGTGGCAAACGTGGAATATCTGAAGGTGCTGAAAGCTGAGTCCTTGCTTTACATATGGGGAATATGAAGCCCAGAGAGAAGGTAAGAAGACACCCCAACCCTTTCCTTAATCCACCGCAGCGATCTGCAAACGCCTAGAACAGCAAGGGCCAGGCCTGTGTGGTTTTCTTTGGGCCCTGAGAAGCTTCTGGATTAATTAGCCCCTCCAATTACACGAGGCACTTGGCTAAAGACTAATCCTGTGAGCTGGGAGCTCAGAAGGTCAAGCCACTTACCTAATGTCACACAGCCAGAAAGTGGGGGAGCCGGGACTTGGATGTGGCTGTGAGACCAGCGCTGTGCTCTTTTCCCCACTTGGTCCCTGCCTCTCTTGGCTGCCAAGGAGGATAATAAACCCTTCCCAGACCTCCCAGGCAGAGCTTGAAGCTAAATTGAGATAATAGACCTGAAAGCCCTCTGAGGAGAAAGTCACAAGCTCTATACAAATGCAGCCTATTGTTATCAACAAAAGGCTTAAATTGGGAAAAATATCCAAGGAGGGAGATGTTGAAGGCTCTTTGGAGGCTGAAGCAATAATGTGGCACCTGGGAGATCCAGCAGGACAGGGTGCTGGCTTGTCATTAACTCATTAACTGCCAGCCGAGGTGTGCTCACCTTCCTGCCACGAGTGTCACAACGAGATGAGTCACCCGTTCTCAAGTGCCTTTTGTGTTTCAGCCATTTTACTAAGTGCCGGGGTTTTAAAATTATTTTTAATTATTCTTAATAGTAACATAAGCCACCATTTAGAGCCTGTACTATGTACCTGGCATGAGCTGTGCCCTTTACATTAAAAAAAAATTACTACTCATAGCAGCTCTGTGACACTGGCGCCATTATCCCCATTCTCCTGGTTGAGGGAATGGTGGCTTGGAGAAGGTGAGTCATTACCCAAGGTCACCCAGAGGGCAAATGGGGTGGGGGTAGAGATTTCACCTGAGCTCCTCACCATGATAAATTTTCTCTTCTGGGGACAAAGAGGGGCGGTGGGCTAAGGTGGCCCTTCTCAAACAAGGAGGGGGCGCGAAAATCATTCCAGACCCAAGCGCCCCCACAGACTTCTGTGACAGGAGGTACACAGGGTGCTAAGCTGGGAGAGTGGGGTTCATACCCTCTCCCCCTTCCTGCCGGGCTTTGACCTGGACAGGACTGAAGCTCATTGATTTCTGGGGTGTCTCTCATCCTAGAAATGAACTGCCGATTCATTTTTGCAGAACCAGGCTCTGAATCTCACTCCTGTGGTCACAGAACTGTCCCTGGCTCCCTGTTGCCCACGGGAAACAGACAAACTCCTGCGGCTGCTGCTTAAAGCCCTGGACACTCTGGCCCCACCTTGCCACCCATCCCTGTCCATACGCTCCTACACTCCAGCCAGCCACTCTGGGTGGCCCCCCGCTTTCCCAGCCATGCCGGGCCTGGGTTCTGGCCATTTCTTCTTTCTGGGGTGTCCTTTCCCTGCTTCTCTGGGGAAACTCCATTCAACCTTCAAGGCCCAGTTCCAAAGTCACCTCTGTGGAGTCTTCTCAGGTGGCACCTTTCCCTTGCCCCCAAGATAGTGATAGCATTGTCCTCTGTGGGTGCACAGCGGTGCTCCCATAGTTAGCACGGCATGAGTCACCCAGGGTTGTAATTCGCGTGTGTATCATCTTTCCACCAGACTCTGAACTTGGCCTGGGTAGCTTGACTCATCCCCGGTGCCCCATGCCAGGCAGAGGGCCTGGTGCAGTGTGGCAGGGCTGGCGACTGTTAGATGAGGAGCCGGGGGTGGGGTGGGGGGGTGCTGGGTTCTGCTCAGCTCTCGAGCGGACATGCAACCTGGAGGAAGACCTCAGTTTCCTCCTTTCTGAAGGAGGGGGGGCTTTGGGCACAGAGTGTGAGGGTGTTCAGCTCTGACACACTGAGAATCTAAGAGTCTAGGATTCTAAGAAATAGTTTTGGGCTGCACCCTTTCTGGAAGGTGTGAATAATGGGTGCCCAGAGTCTCCCATAGCTTGAAACCTGGCAGGACCTCCTGGGTGGTCTTTCTCTGGACATCATTCTTAACAGGGGGGCCACTTGGGAAGGGCCGTCTCAGGACCAGCTTCTTTTGTGGTGGTCCATCTCAAGGCAGACACTAACCCGGATGGTGTAGCTCAGTGGAGCCCCTCTTGGGCTGTCAATCTAAGACAGGCTCCGCCCAGATGCCTGAAGCCTGGGCTGGGTGGGGCTGCGCCCCTCTTACCCGCAGCTGCTCCTCTGGCAGGTCGCTGCCATCATTGATGCCGCGGTTCATGGACACAAAGCGCTCGAAGGGCGGCTTGTCCCGGACGTTGGGGTTGTGGAGGCTTGTGTTGAGCATGATGATGGAGAAGGACAGGACGTAGCAGGTGTCTGTGGATCGGGACAGCCAGTCAGAGTCCTGGCCCTGCTTGCTCCCCACCCCCTGCCCTGACCCCTTCTAGGGACTGAGGATCAGTCATCTCAAGGCCCCAAAGGTCCTTCCTGTCCTCCTGTCTTGGCACGCGAGGCCCGGCCTCGCCTCCCACTCTTACTGAACTCCTTGCTCCCGAGAACATCCAGCTGTCCTGTTCCGAGCCCCGCTGCGCCCTCCCACCCCTGCACTTTTGCTCTGGTTGGCCGCCTGCCAGGCATGCCCGCCCCTTCCCTTTCCTACCCGTTCAAACCCTCCACTTGCAGCTCCAGCTCTAGCCCTCCTCCCCACTGAGCCTTTCCAGCCCCCCTGCCCACTCTGTTCTCTGCCTCCTTGGACCTCAGAGAGCACTTATTGTTGGCACCGTTATTCAGGGCTTCGTCACGTGCTGCCTGGTAATCTGGCTGGCATTGTGGGCCTCCTGGAGCCAGAGTGGCTGTTCCCTGATTCAGACGTTCACGTACAAGTCAGTGAGCCTGGGCGGAGCATTTGGGAGGGAGGTGGCTACTGCTCCGTGGTGTATGTCCAGAGCCAGGGAAGTCCAGCTATGTCCTCAGCTCTCCGATGGACCTTGGGAAAGTCCCTGACCTCTCTGAGCTGACCTCGGCTTCCCCATCCGTGACATTCGGAGGTTTAACTTTGAAGTAGCTTTATGTTCTAAATCAGCTATTCTACCTCTGATAACAGTGGCACCTAACATTGTTGGTGCTTGCCCTGTGCTGAGCTCTTCCCATCTCCATGACAACCCATTGAGGAAGGTACTGTTACTCCCCCCGTTTTACAGATGAGAAAACTGAAGCACAAGGAGATTAAATTACAGGCCCAAGGTTACAGAATTAAGACGTAGTTGGACTAAAAAAAAAAAAATAGAAGTAGGTGGACTGTGATTCAAAACTGGTGCTTTAAAATTCCTTCCTTTCTACAAATATTTGAGTACCTACTAAGTGCTGGGGGCTGGGGATTCACTGGTGAATAACTCTGATATGGTTCTGCTCTTGTGGGACAGTTAGACTTGTGGAGCTGGCAGGTAATAAAACAAGCAAACACTGAAATCATATATAACTACAAGCCAGGGCAGATGCTCTGTAGGACTTGTCCCTGGACACACAGCCAAGAAGTATTGTGTCTGTGGACAAGTCACTTCACCTCCCTGAATCTGTATTCTATGCAGGGATGAGAACACTAGAGACCTCATAGTGTGGCTGTGAGGATGAAATGACTGCATGAGTAAAGCACTTCGCACATGGGGAGTAGTCAGTAAATAAAATTGGTTTTTGTTGTTATGGCAACTTCATATCCAGAGAAGAGGCCAGGACAAGTCTGCTATCATGGCTTCTTATCTACCTTGTGCAGGAGAGTATGAAGGACTGAACTTTGTTGATATCTTTCTATGCTCCTTCACTCCCTATGTCCTGCCCAGGCTGTTTCGTGCTTCCAGATTTGCTTGAACTAGAACTCCTGCCCCAAAGGCCCTTTCACCTTTTGACTTCCTGGAGAACTCCTATTCAGTATTCAGAATCCCATTCAGACCCCACTGCCTCTGGGAAGCCATCCTGGACATGCTGACCCTCCCGTCCCTGTTCTCAGATGGGTGTGTTGTTGCGCTAACACCCTGTGCCATTATTCCCTGCCTTCTCTCCCAAGGATCATGCCCTAAGCAGCTCTGCCCAGCAAGCACCCAGCAAGGCCTGACACAGGGTTGATGCTCAGTGAGGGCTCGGGAAATGACCTGGGGTCTGCTTCGGGAAAGGCAGAGGGGGTGGAGGTGGCCATGGTGCTTTGGGAGGCAGATCTGTGCCTGGCAATGCTGAAGTGTTCCGGGGCCCTGGGTCCCACCCTATACTGGTACCTGTGGACTGGAAGACACCTGGATTGCAGAAGCAGTATCGAGAGGCAAAGGTCTCCATCATCCGGTCGATCTTCTGGGCTTCGCCTGGCAGCCGGAAACTCCACAGGAACTGCCTGGGGGAGGAGGAGGGCCATGGGCAGCAGGGTTGGGGGCGGGGGACTCTCAGGGGGACCCTGGACAAGACGCTCTGCCTCTCCATGCTTAGACTTTTTATCCTGTAAATGGGTGAGTCTGTACCTGTTATCTAGGCTCATGGGGGGTGGGGTACAGGGAAGGTAAGTGGGATTTGTCCTGGCAAGCATGCGGGAAGTTTCCAAGAAATGGCCCCCCTCTTTTTTCCAGAATATGGGAGTGAGTGTGCGCTCCCCTCTACTCATCTGAGTCCTAGCACCTTTTATGGCCCAGTACACCTAGCCCATGGTGGAGCCTTGCCTTCCCCAGGTTCTGCATCTCCCCCTGCCTGGCCATCAGCCCTACGATCTGACTATGGGACCCTGGGAGAGTGCCTTCTCCTAAATGGGACTCCTTTTCCTGGAACCCAAACTCCCAGCTCTGGAAGTTGATCATTTCCACAGCTTTAAATTCCACCCCTGGAGGGCAAGGGCTGTGCCTATTCCTCGCATATCTCCTTCTGGGCCTCTATAGACCTGGGAACCCAGGAACTGCTCTGTAAAAGGCTTGTTGAAAGAGTGGCTGCATGAATGAATATTGGGGACTACCCTTCTCCCTCAAAGAGCATGGTAGTTGGAGGGAAGGCCACATTGCCTGGATGGTGGTGGCTTCTTTTTTTTCCTGCCTTGAAAACTCCTATTCATCCCTCAAAGCCCAGCTCAAATGCTCCCTCTTGGGAGCCAATTTCCCAGGCATTAAACAGCAACAAGACTTCCTAAATACTTACTATGGGCCAATTCTAAGCATTTTCTTGTTTAGCCCTCACAACCATAGGAGGTTGGTACTATTATCCCCATTTTATAGATGAAAAAACTGTGGCAAAAAGAGGTTTTTGTGACTTGTCCAAGGTCATACAGGGGTGAATGGCAGAGCTGGGATATGAACTGGGCAGCCTGGCTCCAAAGTTTGTGCTTCTAACTGATATCCTGTAATGCTTCTTGTAGTTATAAAAATCAGGGTAGGAACAGTACTATCTTAATTAGAAAATAATAAGTAATAATAATGCAATACATACCAAGCTGTATTAATAAAATAAAACAAGCACTATTTCGGAAAGTAGTGGGAATGGCAGTAATAATAGTAATAACGATTACAATGATTAAATATTATTATAATAATGCTGTAATGAAATAATTCCGGTAAGAGTAGCAGTAATGAGACAGGTGCTGTCCCAGGCAGTCCACGGCTATCATCTCACCCAGCCTTAGCTGTATGAGGCAGATACTATCATTCACTAATTTTTGCTCCTGATACTTTGTGCTATTAGCCATGCGGCTCGTGATTCCCTTACCCCCAATCCCATCCCCTGGCTGTGCCACCCTCCAGGGCTGGGCCCCGTCCCCAGGACCACTCACCTGAGGGCCTGAACGAGGTTGAGGTTGGCGAACTCATGGCAGTCCACAAAAGCCTGGAGGACCTGCAGGTTGATGGGGTCCCTGGGGAGGGGCAGAAGGGAGGGGTGGGATGCACTGGGGAACTCCCTGGTGCCCACTTCCTGGAAAGCGTTCACATGGGGCAGGGAGTGGAGGGGATCCAGCCACTGTCTGGTCTACTCACATCAGCCTGACCCCACATCAGCCCCCTCGCCCGAGTGCATACCCATGTCCTCTCACACACGAGCAGACCCCTACCACCCCCACAGCCCACCAGCCAGCACTACTCCCCCCGAGGAGGGGAGTCTGGCTTTGGAGTGGCCTGCTCTGAGTCAAACCCTTCCTTTGTCACTGCCGGCTCAAGCCACTTGACTTTCCCAAACCACAGTGTCCTCATCTAAAATGAAGACAACCATGCCTAACCCCGTTTCCTCCCTCTTCCCAGCTCTTAAACCAGGAAGTGCTGCCCTTCTTGTCACCTGCGTCCCCTGCTTGCTCAGGAGAAGGAGCCTGGGAGGAGGGTTGTGGGCTCTCTGGCTCAGCTCCACCCTGTCCCTTACAGCCTGCCCCCATCAACCCAGCAGCCAGGGGGGTCCGCTCAGACCACTCCTCTGCCCAGAACCCTCTCATAGACCCCACCTTGTCGCCTACTACTTCCTCCCTCCTTCCCTCACTCTCTACCAGCCTCACCAGCCTGCTGTTCCTTGAGCATGCTTCTGCCTCGGGGCCTTTGCACCTACTGTTCCCTCTGCCTGGAATGCTCTCCCCCTAGATGCCTACACTGCTCTCCTCCTCTAAGTTTCAAACACCGCCTTCGCCACGAGGCCCTTCCTGTGCACAAGGACGTCGCAGCGCTCGACCCTGTGGCTCCCAGTACTTCTCGCCTCCCTTCCCTGCTTGATTTGTGTTCCAAAGAATTTATAATTTTCTAGCATGCTTTACCTATTTGGGGTTCTAGCTTCCCCACTAGAATGTACCTCCTGGAGGGCAGTTTTGTCTGTTTTAATCACCGGTATAAATACAGGACTTATAACAGTGCCTGCCATAGAGTATATACTAACAAGTATCTATTTGTTGAATAAAGGAAGAAAGGGAGGAAGGAATGAAGGAAGGAGGAAGGAAGGAAGGAAGGAAGGAAGGAAGGAAGGAAGGAAGGAAGGAAGGAAAGAAGAAATGTAGGTTTTGGTTCAGAATCTGGAGGCGAGTGATCAATAGCCCCCTCAGGCCCCAGGAGTTATGACTATTCTAACATAATTCACTCCCTCACTCACCTGCACGCGCGCACACACACACACACACACACACACTCACCTGCGCACACTTGCACAGACTCATTCCCTGCTTCCCTAGGGCCTTGCCTCCTTACCTCTCCCCCAAGTAGTTGCCAATGGCCGTCTTGTTGAGGCCCTCGCCCTTGTACAGGAACTGGGCGATGTCCTGGGCTTCGGGGGTCAGCAGCTTGTGCTCAATGAGATACTGGATGCCCTGGTGGGGGTACACAGAGCCCTGAGACCTGGCATTCTGGCATTGGCACAGCCTGTTCTAGGAAGTTGTGTCCCTCCTTAACAGAAGCTGCCTTTGTAAGGTGGTGAGTTCCCCATCTCTGGAGGCATGCAAAGAGAGATGGGGTTCCTGGAATGAACCAGATTCATGCCAGGTTCTCCCCTGGGTCCCTTTCAGTCTGACACTCTTTGATTATATGCTTCAGTGATTCTCTGAATTTATAAGTTTAAGATTCAATGATTCAGCCATTTCTTTTGTCCTCTTAAAGTTCACATTCTTTAAAAATAGTGTTTCATTTTTTTCTCACAAGTAATCTATGTCCATTGTACAAAAATTAGGAAAAAAAACCCCAGCTAAATCAAAAGGAGAGGAAATTGCCCAAGTCCTATCACTCCGAGGTAGGCAGTTGCCATGGTGGTGACTTTCCTTCCTTTTCCATATGCAAGTGGTAGCACGCCACGCCCGCCATGTTGAAACCTGCTTCTCTGATTTGACAGCATCACAAACATCTCTCCCCACAACCCAGGCACTCAGAGGCTGTCATTCTAATTTGAGGAGTTTCAGGGGTTTGCTTCCGGTTTTCTGTGATGGGTCCTTCATGTCCCTGCTCCTTTAGGAGAAGGGGCTTCTGGAAGATGGGAGGCAATTTGTAGGGGGCTCGAGTGACAGGCAGAGGGCCCTGGGGGACCCCTCAGCGGCCCCTTTCAGGTGCTTGGGTGTGAGTATGAGTTAGTGTGTGTGTGTGTGTGTGTGTGTGTGTGTGGTCCCTGTGGATGGGGGCAGGGGTCCAATTGCTGCAGCTGTGGGAGGTGAGTGGGTGTGTGACACTGTGGGCCCGTGACAGGAAAGGCAGGCAGCCATCTAAGCCAGAGAAGTAAATTTCCAGGGCTGCTCTGACCCACCTTCTTTGTGTGTCAGTTTGTGGCTTCCTCCTGCCTCTGTTCCTGCAGGAAAGGAGCCCACAGCCCCCTAGCAGGGTGAGAGATGGGGCTGGGGTTGCTCTGAGGCCAGTGGGGGAGGTGTTGGGGTGTGGAGAGCTGTAGCTAAGCCCTCAGTGCTCTGTGCTGGCACCCCAGATCTGCACCCCCAATCGGCCAAGTGGCTGGAAGACACTTCTAGAGACTGAACCCCAGAATCTAATGACCCCCCTGCCCAGTGCCCTACTCATTGAGGAGGAAATAGAGGCCTAATGCAAAGGGACTCCAAGTCCATGGACATCATAGACCCTACTCCATTCTGCTGGCTCCCACCTCATACCTGAGGCTGCTGTGCTGTGGGTGACAGAGCCCCCAGCCGTGGCCCGCTGTGGGGCGCTGAACAAGACGCTGAGCCCTGGTGGGTCTCAGTTTCCTCCTCTGTAGGGTGGGTTATGGTGTCAGTTGTGGGAAACGAGAGAACATTGTGGAGGTGCCCAGCACGCAGCAACCCCGACCCCATGACCCGAGCCCCCCACAACTGCCTACCTTCACGGGGTCCATGTTGAACTTCTTGCGCCCAATGCATAGCTTCTTCTCCTTCTGGACTGTCCGGCTGTAGACATGAAGATGTCAGTGTGGGCTGCCCTAGGACCTCAGGGTACCGCCCTCCAATACCCAAGGATCCTTGAGGACCTTGAAAACACCCCTCAGCTAGAGCCAGTATTCCCTAGGGGCCTCCAAGAGGGGTTCCCAGGCCCTGTGTTGGAATCACCTGTGAGAGCATGAGAAATGCAGGGTCTGGGCCTTTCCAGAGCTACCACCGCACCAGATCCTTCCAATGGGCCCAGTGCCATGGCCTCGGGAGCCCACAGTTGCTCCAGGAGGAGCATTTAGAGGGGCTCTGTGCTTGCAATGCGGGCAAGACAACGGGAAGCTGGGGGTGAAAGCACGGGCTCTGGAGCCAGCCTCCTGGTACACATCCCGCTCCACCGCTTCCTGGCTCAGCCACCTGGGGCAAGTCATTTCATCTATCTGGGACTCGGTTTCCTTGCCTGTAAAATGGGGCAACTTTGCCACCTGTCTCTCAGCACTGTTGGGAGGTTAAAGCACTGAAAATAGCTGGTGGTAGGTGCTCTGGCAATGATCTGTTGCTATTATTGGGGCCTGACCAGGGACTCTGGGGACAGGGTCACGTAGGAGTGTGTGTGCATGTGCCCGTGTGCATTTGTGGGGCGGTGAGGGGGCTAAACAGGTGATCAGGGGCATCAGGGAACTAAGGGGTGGCAGGGGCAGGCTGGCGATTTCCTGGGACACTGGATGTAGGAATCTGCCCTGGGGCCTAGGGGATTATGTAGGGACCAACCTTCTCATCTCATAAGTGGAGAATGTGAGGCCCAGAGAGGAGAGGAACCAACCCTGCCACAGAGCCAATGGGAGTCTTGCTATAGAAGGGGTGGAGTAATGACACCATGTGGGTGGGGTGACGTGGACCAGCCTCCAGGCAGGCCAGGCTCCTGTCCCCCTGAGGCCCTTGGCTTCCCTGTCCTCATCCTCAGGGCTGAGTTTTCCTTCACCCCGGCAGCAACTGGTCAGGGGCTGGGTCAGGGTAGGTTGAAAGGGGCTTAGGGTGGAGGGGGTGGGAGGATGGGGCTGTCTCTCAAGAGAGGGAGCTGTCTGGAAGCAAGGACCAGGCCACTGGGATGGAGTCTCGGGGTCTCCCTGTTCCTATCTCACCCTGCTGCCCCCTCCTCCTGGGGGCCCTGATCCCTGATTTTACCAGGGCCCCAGCCTAGGCATGTCCTATGCTGATTCACAATGCGTGACACCCTTAGGAAGCCATCATGGCAACCTTCCAGGGTCTCCTGGCCAGGCCCCTCACCTCTCCTCCATGGTCTCGAAGCAGTCGATTTGGGCAAACACATCTGCAATCTCATCCTTCAGCTTCTGTGGGTTGCGGGGGTGGAGGTGGGAGAGCATGACATGGAGGGAGAACCAGGAGGCAGAGGCCACGACAGAAAGGGTTTCACAACCCTCCCCCGAAACCACTGCCACCCTTAGGCACGACTCCCAAACTGCCCCGTCCTGACAGATCCCCTCCCCAGATGTCTCATATCCTCAGAACCCCAGGCCCAGCTATTGCCTCTGTCTGCACCCTTTCTTCCACCATCTCCTGCCTTGGAGTGGGCAGCTCCCAAGTCCCCACCCTTTGCCCCACTGTATTTCTGGCCTTCCCATCTCTCCTCTCTGAAGATGTAATGTCTCTGGCCCTCTGGCCAGCCCACCTGACAAGCCCTCCTCCACCCAGCTGCCATCTTTCTGGAACACACTTGGCACCTGCCCTGCCCCGGGTCCAACCTCTTCCATGGCTCCCACTAGCTCCTCCCTTCTTTCCAGTTCAGGAGGCACCGATTCTGGCCCTGTGAGCAGGCCCCAGCTCCTCTCCAGCTTCCCTCCATCCATCTGTTTACTCTGCCACTTGCCCCTGACTCGGTGCCTGCTGTGTGCGAACTACCGTGGATGCACCAGGTACTAGACAGGCCCTCTTTTCAGGGACTTTGCAATCCCAGTGGAACGTACAGAAGAGGACATTGAGGCACCGGGAGGTGAAGTGACATGTCTAGGGGCTGACTCCAAGCCTCTGCTTTCTCCCACTCCCCGCAAGCCTATTTCATCCTGACCCTGAAGAAGGTGCTAGTAGCAGACGAGACCTCCCTCACTCTGCTAACTGCTACCACTGGGCAGATGGGCAAGGGGGCAGCTCTTCCAGCATCCCCCTGCAGGGCAGCAGCATGAGCGCTGGCAAGAACCCCCAAAGGCACTCAGCCCTCCCCCGAGGTCTGTGGGATGGGTGGTCCCAGGGGCTTATCCTGGGACTCAGGGACAGCATGGGGCCTGGAGCCTATATCTGAGCCCAGTCAGCTCCCGTCCATGTGATTTTGGCCAAATCACTGAGTGGCTTCCCCATACATAAAATGGGGGCTTACTCGCAAGTATTTTGTGAGTACATACTGTGTGCTGACTATTGGGCTGCAGACACAGTGGTGAGCAAGACAGACTCAGGCTCTGCTTACACGGAGCCCCATGGTGGTCATGGGGACATGAAATGACTGTGCAGAAAACGATCACAGCAGTTATATAGAAAGAGCCTGGCCATGGTAGGTGCTCAATTAAAGACTTGCTGAGCGAATGCTTTGGTACCGTCATCCTTCCCTGGAATCTTAGGTGGACACGTGTCGGGGTAGGGTGGGGTCCCAACAACTGTAGCCAGCATGGTCAGGGCAGCCTCTAGGGGTGGAGGTGGCATTTGAGCCGAGAATGAAATAATGAGGAGCATGATAAGAGCTTGGGAGAGTCCCAGGCAGAAGGAACTGCGAGTGCAAAGGCCCAGGGGCAGAACTGAGCAAGGCCCTTTCCAGGCTGCTGAGAATCAGATGTGCTAAGTCTGAAACGCTGGTGAACTGGCAAATGCTGGTTCACATATTAGCATTATGTTGACCAGGTGGTCTCCATTTTAGAGGGGATGAAGCTGAGGCCCAGCATGGGGATGAGAGCTGATTGAGGGCACCCAGGTGGGAGTAGAACCTACCGTTGGATGAGGTGTATAGAGCTTCAGGTGGGCCCATGCACAGGAGGGGCGTAACCCATGGCCGCCCTCCCCTTCCCCACTCTCCTGGCTCTCTCTTGGCAGCTGAGCCCAGGAGTCGGGTGTAGGGGGGAAAGTCCCCAGGGGATTCTGTTCTCCCCACTGCTGGGGGCTGGGGCTGAAGCTAGGTGTGGCTAGAATCTGGCGTCCTCTCTGATCAGGCTGGGCTCTGGAGTGAGGGTGTGTCAGTATGAACACGTGTAAGTGCGTGTGTGTGGACATGAGCGTGTATATTTGTGAGTGTGCGTGTGCACCCACCTGGATGTCCTCCAGAAGCTGCTTCCGGTGCCATTTGATCAGCTGAAGCTCCTCCGTTTCCCCACTGCTCAGCTCTACTGGGTCTGGAAAGAGGAGAGCTGGTGGTTACTGGCTAACTCAGTGCCCTCTCCTCCACCACCTCCACTCCAGCTACACCCGCTAACTCTCAGGGTCCTCTTTTCCTCCGGAAATCCATGACTTGCTTGCCCTTTTCCTCAGGACTTGACTCAGATGTCACCTCCTCCAAGAGAGCTTTCTTGACCACTTTGTCTAAATCAGTCCCTCCCCCCTCTCCCCGCCTACCCAGCTTTCTGTTTCTTCTACCCCCTGGGTATAGATGTCCTGAAATGATCTGTGTACTATTGCACTCCTTATACTCTTAGCTTCATGAAGGCAAGCACTTCAACTAATTCATTCACTGCTGCATCCTCAGCAGCTAGAAAGAAACCGACACACAGTAGATACTCAACCAAATACTTTTGAAGGCATTCATCCTTCCCTGGAACTTTAATTTACTTCTTCACTGGATCGCATGTCATTTATTTCACTTATTTATTTGCACAGCGAGGAAGTGGTATATTTTTTGCTTCACATCCCATTGGCCAGATGTAGTCACATGGCCATGCCTAGCTGCAAGGGAGGCTGGGAAATGAGCTTGTAGCAGGGTGGTCCTGATAGCCTTACTATGTGAGATGGGGTGCAGCCGTCTTGGACTTTGAGATGGAAGCTGGGTATTGAAATGGCACGGCATCAAGCTAGAAGGAGCCTGGGCCCTGGGCCACTGTGGAAAAGAATCATCATATTTACCTTGACCGGCTACCCACTTGAACTTTTCAATAAAAGAGAAATAAGCTTTGAGTATGTCTCAGTCACCGTTATTCTGAGTCTCTTTGTTACAGCAGCCAAACCTGAAACTTAATATCTGTGAACCATAGCATGTGAACTATGAACCATAATCCTTACCTAGAGTGTGGTTGTTAGGATTAAAACAGCTGAACTTTGTCAAACACCCAGCAACTATCTGACATATGGTAAGGGCCCAACACATAGGTAATGGAAGCTATGTTGTGTCATCCAGCTTTTCCTCTTTATTCCCCCAGCTGCTAGGAGTATAGCCTGCTGATGGCTCATGGCTGAGTCCTCCCCAGTAATGTACCTCAGCCAAATGGAACTGTCTCACCCAAGGATAAGTCCCTCCCAAAGAGCAGTCACAGCAATGAAAAGCCTCGTTTCTGGACCTGAGCCAGTGTTCAGGCCCAGGACCTATTACAGGTGGCCCAGACCCCCGTGTCATCCACTTCTGTTGCACCTCAGCTCACATACTGTCTGCATGGGTGGGTCCCTTGTGACCTTCCGACAAAGGAGGAAAATGCCAGAGCTTGGTTTCAGGATGGGTGGTTCAGTGTGTGGATACAAGTGAACACTGTTCAGCTATTGATATAGCCCTGCTTAAAGGTAGTTTAGAAAGACAGTGGTGAGAGTTCCTCCCAACGTGCAGGGCACCTGGTCGTCCATTTCATGTGGAAAGAGAAGTGGTGTGAAGTAAGAATATACACACATTCATGGGCAGTAGAAGATGGCTTAGCTTCTTGGTCAGAGGCTGGAAAGGAGAAAGATCGGAAGATTGGGAACAGAGAGGGCTGGGAAGAGGCAAGTGGATGGCCCCGTGGGAGTAGACACAGGGTGGGAAGATTCTGGTTAAGCACGCTTATGTTCCCCAGCAAGCATCCACCACAGGAGAGGCAGAATGACTGGGCCAGTTGACGTCAGACAGTCTCTGATTGGTCAGCCTAGTGCTGGTACAATGGCATGTGAATGAAGTAGCCATGTGGCCTGGGTGGAGGCTATGCATAGATCCAGTCACTCAGGCTCCTTGAGCCACTGCTGAATATCTGACCTGCCAGCAACAGAGACTCATTGTTTCTTGAGAAAACCAATCAGCAACTTGATTACGCTGCATCCTTTCTAATCTGCAGAGGCTGGTAATTCACCCTGATTGGAATCTGCACATGTTCTGGACATGTGGGGGCCTTTCCCGCCCACAGAGCCTTGGCCAGCATCAGTAGCCAAGGGTTTCCAGGGGATTCCATCTGCTGACACAGAGCACTGCACGACATCACATTAGACTGAAGGACCCGCTTTACAGTCAAGGAGCTGTGGGAGGACCATGCGGCCATAGGACCTGCTGGTCTAGGTAACATTTCCCCACCAGAAAATGCCGCCTTAGTGGAACGACGGAGCAGCCTCTTGAAGGTGCAGCTGTGGTGTCAGCTTGGAGATGATATTCTGCTCGGATGGGCACCATCCCTCAGGATAGATACCCTTGACACCCTAAATCAATGACCATTCGATGGTGCTTTGTCTGCAGCAGGTTATCTACACCGATCCAAGAGCAAGGAGAAGGAGGGGACCCACTACCATCCTCCTGTTGACGCACTTGGGAGTTTTCCTTTCTATTCCTGCAACTCAGGAGCTCTGCAGGCCTAGAGTTCCGGGTTTCCAAGGGGTGGGGGAGGCGGCCCTTACATCAAGAGTTCCATTAAACTTTAAGCTCAAAACTCCTGCACCATGCCAGCAGCTTCGTATAAATTGTGTCATTCCATCCTCGCTACTCTGTGAAGTGAGTCTTTTTCCCTTTAGGACACGGAGGCTCAGAGGGTGTCTGAGTGAAGCGATTTGCTCCAGGTCACACAGTCAAGAAGTGGCAGTGCTGGGATCAGAACTCTGGTTTGCTGACACCTAACACTCTGTCCCAGGAGAGGTGGATTCCGCATGCTATGGGGACATTCAGGGACGGAAGACGTGAGGAGCCATCCACATGGTGACATTAGCAAGGCCATAGCAGCGCTGGAGGCTGGGACCTGGAACTCCTTTGTCAGGAGAGGGTGGGAGGCTGAGGGCTATTGTGGAAAAACCCAGTCACCTCTAGTTGACTTTGGGGTGAAGATCAGACTTTTTGTTTTGTTTGTATGCTTCCCATTGTTTTTCTGTTGGCTGGGGCTTGTGTCCTGAGGCCAGCTTCTGCAACGAGCTGGTGGAGGCTGTAAGATTTCCAGACAGGCTGCTTGTCTGAGAAAAGCCAGGCTGGGTGTTAGCATTTCAATGGATAATCCCCAATGTGGTAAGCTATGGGCTCTGTAGCCAGTTCCTAGGATGACTCCTCTTCTCACCCCATCTCTTTAGCTCCCAGCTCCTCTCCTGGGCCAAGGAGCCACACGCACACCCTCAGCTCCAACCCCTCCCTGAGTTTCAGGCCCTTCTATCCCCTTGGGCACTAGCTGTCATCTCGCTTGTCACTGGGGCTTGTCATTACGAACAAAACGGAAGGCCTAGAATTTCCTCTCAATTCTTCCTGAGTTCCTGAGCTGTGGGGTGGTTTCTGAGATATCCTGGCCAAGACCCCAGGAGGCACCTGGGTAAACCCCTCTCTCACCCTCATGTCTCCTCTCTCACCAAGCCCTGTCTGTCTTCGCCCTGTTTCCACAGCCCCTCCCCTTACCCAGACCATGGGCTCCAGTCTCTGGATGGTGTAGGGCCTCCCCATGTCTCCTTGCCTCTGCTCTGCCCTTCCAATCCAGTCTCCCTTGGCATCCCGTAGTTCTGGGGATAAAGACTCCAAATCTTACTGGGCCCGCCAGTCCTGCTGGCATACCCCCCCCCCCCCCGCCCACTTCCTCATCACACACTGCGCCCTGCCCCCTGCCCAAGGCTTGAGGCCTCACTGGCTGCCCATCATTTGCTCCCATGCGCTCTTCCCCTCTGCAGGCCTTTGCACATGCTGTTCCCTGTGTCTGGAATGCCCTTCCTTCTCCTCTCTGCCCAGGAGCTCCTACTCTTTCAATGTTCTCTCAGGTGCCTCCTGTGCTCTATCTGGGCATCATCCTCTCTCACCTCCTTACCACTCGCTGGAGCAGGTCTAGAATCTGCATAGCTCAATGAACAAGCAAAGCCATTGGTTAAGGAAAGCTGTGCTAGCTGGGCACCTACTGTGTGCCAGACCCTGTGTGCTCTAGGCTCTTACCATCTACTATCTCATTTAATCCTGATGACAGCTCTGGAAGGAACGTATTTCTAATTTTATTCTGTACATGAGACATCTGAGGCTCAGAGAGGTTAAGTGACCTGCCCAAGGTAACACAGCTGGAAGGTGGTAGAGCTGGGATTCACACCCAGGCCCGTCTGGGGTTCTGAGGCTTCAATCCTGACATTAATCATCTGAATATCACCATACAAAGCATCAAAACCCCATCAGATGCTAACCCTGAATATTTTGACATGGAATTGCAGACCATGGTTACATGCTTGAGAATGAAGAAAAGATGCAGAATGGTGCTTACAGTCTGAGCCCCTTTGGGGTAAGAAATAAAACAAAGCCAACATCATAGAGCTGGGGACACTGAGGCACAGGTGTGAATGGAGGTAGTTTTCCCAGGAGAGTGGGACAGTGTGGGGGGACTGAGGGGGCTGCTTGCACTCCTGTTCATACAGCAGCTCCTTTTGTGGTTTGATAGGTAGATTCATGGACACTCTCAGTCCACTAGCCCTCTGTCAGGTGCAACTGGCCAAGTGCATTTGAACCTGCAGAACAGTGGGGACAGCCCCTAGTCTGCTGCACCCATCACGTGCTACATGGGGGCCTTCCCACCCTTCACCTATTTGTTGAAAAGTGGGGGTTTCTCCCCATTTCAGAGCTGAGGACACAGAGGTTCAGGGAGGGTGAGAAAGACACAGCCTGAGAATGGCCGCTTTTGATTCCAAGCCTGTTTCAGTCACTTGTGTAGCTCACGGGAGGTAGATTTTTAATAATAATACAATAACAACAACAACAGTAATAAAACAAAAAATAACAACATGGCAACAACAATCGTCACCCCCACAAGCTCTGCTTACCCCCCACTTGGCTCTGTGTTTTTCACGTCTTCCAAGGCTGCCCTTGAACTGCGACCCCACCCACATTGGGGCTGGGGCTGCCCTCTGTCCCCAGGGCTCAGCCCAGTGGTGCATGGCCCGGTGCCGCCCGCCCGTCTCCCCCACTCCTCTCCACTTCCCCTTTGTCCTTCCTCTTTCCCATCGTATTTTTAGAAGTCGTTCTGCTTGTAGCCCCACTTCCAGAACAGCTGGCCTCGCTTCCTCTTTTCCAGGGCAGGAGGAAGGCGCTATCCTGGGGCCCTGAGGGCAGAGGCTCCTCTGAGTCCTGTGGGAGGGCCACTGGGTAGCAGGGACATGTGTGTGTGTGTGTGTGTGTGTGTGTGTGTGTGTGTGTGTGTGTGGCGGGGAGGACCTGCTTCGCTCCCCAGCCTGCCCTGCGAGTGCAGGGTGCATTGTGTGGCTTCCCCCTCAGCGGCTGAGCTGCCTCTATTTTTAACTGCACCGTCAGTCAGTCCTCAGTGCACCCGCCCAGTGCTGTCTTTGGTTATCTCGAGGCTTTGCTGCCTGGGCCTCTCACCTTCCTGGCAGGCTGTGGGGGAGGGGGCTTGACCTGCTCCTGGATGTCACACACCCATGACTGACGGAGGGGAGGCAGCTCTGGGGGGACCTTTACCACAGACCTGTCCATTGCACAGGTGAGGAAACCGAGGCGCATTATGACCACGGGCATGTCGGTGCAGAGCTGGGACCTGAGCCAGGTCTGGCTGATTCCAAATCCCTGTTCATTGCCCAGGTCAGGCTGGGATGATGGTGCTCAATGATGAACGACAAATTTGAGCTCAGAGAGAGGTAGTCACCAGGCCGTGCAGGCGCTTTGACTAAGACCCAGTCTGGAAAACAGAGTAATGACGTTCCCTTCCTTCTTCGGCCTCCTCCAGGAATTCTTCCCAGAGCTCCCCTGCCCTTGTGCAAAGAGCCGCTTCCTCCCACGCTCCAGGTTTGTGCCCATTTGCACACCTGCCCTGGGTCACTGTCCTGCAGATCTGTCTCCCTCTTCCCCAAATCCCAGACCAGCATCTCCCCAGGGTTGGTTACTGCTGTCCCCAGCATTGCATAGCACAGGGCCTGCGCACCATAGGATTATGTATGGAATGAATGAATGAAAGAAAGAAAGAAAGAAAGAAAGAAAGAAAGAAAGAAAGAAAGAAAGAAAGAAAGAAAGAAAGAAAGAATAAAAGAGCTAATTAATGGAGGCTGCTTGTGTTGACCCCATTCAATCTATGTATTTCCTTCCAGGACCAGCCAAAGCAAAACAGTGACTCCCCTTGGACGCCCCTGCCCCCCACCGCCCAGGCTAACCTGAGCTCTTTCTCCTTTCAGGAGCTTTTTCCTATTTTGCTGTTTACTGGCCACCTGAATTTGGGCTGGTCAGTTCTCTCCTCCAGTTCACCGCAGAGAGCCTCAGTTTCCTTATTTGCATCATGAGGACAATTATCCCTGTTCCTAAGGACCTCCGTAGGTGAAGACCCCAAAGAACGAAGTGATAATGGTAGAAAGACAGGCATGGGTAGGATTACTTCACTGTCTCATCTTTCCCTTGCATCTGCTGTGACTCTGAGCCGGGTGCTGCTCCTTGCTGAGTCTCCTGCCTTATAGTTGCCACCTAAGACATGTTCACTGAGCCTCCTGTCCCCAAAAGGCCACAGGAGAAGCCAGGGGGTCAGGGAGAGAGCACTGGGCAGGCAGTCGGGAGGTGGGGAGTGATCTGCTTCAGCGAGACTGTTTTCCTCTTTGGGCCTCCTTTGTCCATCTGTACATGGGGCTGCTGAAATGGATCGGTGGTTCTCTAACTGTGGGAGAGGGGAAGCCCAGGGGGCGGGGTCGGACATCTCTGTGTTAGGTTTCGTTTGAAGAAAGGGTTCTGCTGCTTACAGGGTTGAGGGCATCTGACCTGGTCAACCAGACAGCTCCTGGCAGCCCCTGTCTCCTGGAATTCCAGGCAATGCTGGGACATTGTGAGACACAGGGCACAGAGGCTTGGCCCCTCTTCTCTGCCTCACAGAAACACAGCACCATGCCCTTCTCTCCCATACCAGCTGTACAGCCTCCTTCTTTACTCTTTCCCTCCAGACACAGTCCTGCTTACCGGGGAGTGCCTCAGCCATGGCCCCGTGCTGCTTATCCCTGGCCCTCTCCATGGGTTCTATCATAGGTGGTGTCTGCAGCCTCCCCAAAGACCACCCTCACCTGCCCCAAAAGGCCAAACGGGCTTCACGGCTCTTGTAGCACCCAGATAAGCATCGCTGTTACCAACATTGTCACCTTCAACACAAGCAACCATTCTCAGTCCCACCTCTGGGCCTGTGCACTGCCTTTTCCTTCCTCCTGGACTATTTCTTCTCCAGAAACCCAGAAAGACCACTCCCTCTCCGTGTTACCACCTGACAGATGACATTAATAGATTTATTGTCTCTCTCGCCTCTAGAATGTAAGTTCATGAGGGCAGCGGCAGTGCCTGTTTTGTTCACTACATTCCCAGCACCTGGAACACAGCTTGGCAGCGAGCTCGAGCTCACAAACTTGCCTTGCGTTTCCCACCCTTGTTATATCTGTTTACACGTTGATTCCTTCCAGGATCCTGTGAGACTGGCACTATTATCCCCATTCTACAGAAGAGGAAACTGAGGCCCAGAGAGGTTGGCCCCAGGTGCTTACCTGGGTGGCACAAGTCCATTCTGAAGCCCCCGGGGGAGGGTGGCCTGAGCTTGCGTTGCCCACTGAACAGCTGCTGCTTGGGTCGGCCAGGCAGAGATGTGTTACCTCTGCTGCAACAGGCCCCTTCCCGCTTGCCCCGCCCAGCCCCATGTGGGGAGGATGTCCTGTCCTGCTGGGGTCTGAGGCGGAGGCTCTTGACGTAGCAGCAGTACTTCCTAAAAGCCAGCAGCTTTGAGTAGCAGGGGCTCTGCGTTTTGGCTGTGAGCAAGGAAGGCAAAAGAGACAGAGGGAGGGGTGGGGAATGAAAAGAGAAAGACAGTGGGACAGAGGGAAACACATATACACACATACGTAGAGGAAGAGGACAGAGCCTTTGCCAGGGGACAATGGGTGTGTAATCAGCAACCTCCCCCATGTAAACCGAAGGGTCACTTCACCTGGACAGTCAGTCGAAGCTGGGCTCCACCCCAACAAGCTCTCTTTCATTAACTCTCCCTGGAGAGAAGGAAAATTAATTCAGTGCTAGGAAGGGCTTTGTTTCTCCTCAGTGAAATGCCTGGCTTTTTCCTGTCCAGTGACCAGTTGTGCAATACGTTCAGTTTCCCTTTTCCCCTGGGCTGCTAGGAAACTCACAGTCAAATCTGAAGCTCCTTTACAGCTGTCTCTGTAGCGTACAGACTTTGAAGCCAGACTCAGCTGTGTGACGTTCAGCTCTGCACTCGGCCCTGTGTGAACTTGGGCAAGTCACTTATCTGCAACGAGCCTCGGCTCGCTTATCTATAAAAGGGGCAGAGGAAAGATGGAGGGAGATAACGTGTGTGAGATGCTAAGACATAGTGTGCACTCGATAAATACTATCCTCTTTCCCTTTTCGGTTTCGATTTTCTTTTTTGGTTAAATTCACCATTTTACTGCTTGTACCTTTTCTGGCAGGTTGATTCAAATCCTTTGTGGAAAAAAGTATGGGTTAAAGAAATATTTATAAAATAAATGCTCGTTCCTTATCATTTTATGGCACATATTGCTTTATTCTTCTGTTTTCCCATCAGTCTGGAAGCCCCATGAGGACAAGGTTGCCTCTGTGTTCCCATGTCTGGCAAATGCTGGGGACATAGAGGTTGTTCAAGGGTGCGAACAGCGAATGAATGAGTGAATGAGAGGAGCCTCGGGGAAACGGTGTGGTTAGTGCAAAGGTTGGCTGTAATTTCTACGCCTCCCTGGATCCGCACCCCTTGGCCCCGTGATGCCGCCATTTTCCCCGCCAAGATGTGGAGGCTGTTTCCTCTTTCCTTGAATTTGGGCTGTGTTTCTTTTTTTCCCCTAAGACTTTTTGTCTTTTTTTTTTTTTTAAACGATTTTATTGGGGAATTGGGGGAGGGGAACAGTGTTGGGGGATTGGGGAAGGGGACCAACCAAGTTGTTGTTTTTCAGTCTTCGTTGTGGAGGGCGCCAGTCGCCATCTGGCTGCCCATCGGCAGCTCGTGGCCTCTAAGCTCAAGGTGCTGTGTTCAATCTTAGTTGTGCGTGGGCGTAGCCACCATCCCATGCAGGAGTCGAACCAGCAGCCTTGTTGTTAAGAGCTCACGCTCTATCCACTGAGCCATCCGGGCGGCAGCTCAACTCAAGGTGCCGAGTTCCATCTTAGTTGCAGGTGGGCGTAACCCACCATTGAACAGGCAGTCTTGTTTTTACATCAGCTGAGCCATCCTGCCACCTGTTGGCAGCTCAGCAACAGCTCAGCTAGGGTGCAGCATCACTGGCCCATGTGGGAATCAAACCGGCGGCCCTGTTGCTCAGAGCTTGCGCTCTTAAGCCAACTCTTAACCAACTGAGCCACTCGGCTGGCCCCTGGGCTGTTTCTTTAACTATCAGAATGGGATGTTATACGACTTTCGACTTTCGAGGCTAGGTCTTAAGAAGTTTTGTAGCTCTCACCCTTGTTCTTAGACTCCTTCCCAGTTGCTATGGGAACCAGCCTGGGCTAGCCTGCTGAAGGATGGGAGGCCACATGGAGGAAGGGCCAGCTATCCTGACTGCCACCTGGTCACAGTCTCATGAGTGAGCCCAGCCAACACCAGAAAAGAGCCGCTAAGCTGAGCCCAACCCTGAACACTGTTCCTTTCATAGAACCATGAGAAATAGTAAATGCTGGTTGTTTTAAGCCACCAGCATTTGGGGTGGTTTGTTAAATAACAAAAGCTCACTGATACAGAAATCTAGTGCCTTCATTTCATCAAAGAGAAAAACTGAGGCTCATTTCTGGGACGTGCTTGGCCAAGTTGGAACTTGAGTTAATGGCCAGCTAAGGACTAGAGGCCAGGCCTGCTAACTGCCAGTCCAGAGCCCTCAGGATGCTTTGAACCTGCCACTCCCCACCCCCCACCAACAGGCTCTTACATAACTCAAGGTTATTTTCTAGGACACTTGTTGAAATTGTCTCCAAGGTAAACTAGATTTTTCTCAACAAATCTGGGCCTGAGGCACAAAAATCCATTTCCTGGGTCATTTCAAAAAGAAAAATGGGGAGAAAGGTGTGATTCCCTGTACAGAAAAGTGTTAGCATAGCAAGTCTGAGGCTGCACTCCTTAAAAAGGCCTGTTTGCAAGTTCAGCCCTTGGATGGCGTCTGGAAACTTGCATTTCGGGAGTGTTCCTGCCACCCCCGATAAGAACGGTCTGCTGTGCCTAAGCTGTTTGTGCCAACAGTGTGGCTTATGCTGCACGCTTGCTTTCCTTCTGGGAGCCTGGAATTTCGGTACATGCCAGGCAGAGGGTGCCTACGTGACCAGCCCCCCATAAAAACCGTGGGCACAGAATCTCTACTGAGCTCCCTGGTTAACAACACCTCACATGTGCTTTCACGATTTGTTGTTGGAGGAATGGAGTGCCTGCCATGTGACTTCCCCGGGGAGGACCAAGCTCACACCTGGCTTCCTCTGGCCTTCACCCCAGGGGTTTTCTGCTGATGTTGCTTTGTATTCTTTGGCTGTAAAAGGTCATGGTTATAGGTAAGACTATCTGTGCTGAGCTCTGTGAATCCTCCTGGTGAGTCACTGAACCTGGGGATGGCTTTAGACCCCTGACACATGCCCTAATGCTGCAGCCAGGCCCCATGGATGTACTTTGCTCAGGGCCACAGTTTGGCATGTGGGACTTTCTTTTTTGTCTGAAGGGCTGGTTGAATGGTTCAGTTATTATTAGTTTCTCATTCTCTAGGACCCAAGGCAAATATCATCTCCGCTATGAAGCCTGTGATTACACCTCCCTTCCCTCTGCCCCTACAGCCCTGGTCATATCTAATAGCTTGTATGCAGGCCGCCTGGGAGGCAGGGACCCTCTCACTGTGGGTGGGAAATGGTTTGGTAGAATCAATGGCAGGGGAGCCATAAGGAACTGCGTTCACATGCAGACTCAGCGTCTGTGAGTTGTGTGAACTTCTCCCCTCTAAGCCTTGTTTTTGTGCCATCTGCAAAACGGGGACAAATAAGACTAGGTTTGCTTACATGAAATAGAAAACTCAAGTAACAATGGTTTAAAGACATTAGAGGTATGTTTGTCTCCTACGAGAAAGAAGGTAGCTAACATAGGACTGCCTTCATAGAAGCCTAGTAATCAGGGATCCTGGCTCCTTCTAACTTTCTGCTTCTATCCTCAAGGTCTCCTTAAGGTGCAAAGAGGCTGCCTGATCTCCAGCCATTGAGCCTACATTTTAGATAGGAAGAAGGATGAAGATGGGGAGAGCTCCCCTTAAAGGGATCTTCCTGAGGCTCTTTCTGGCCTGAGGGCAACCCTTCTTCCTGAAATGGGGCTCTGCTTCCTCCATGTGCACTATATGGATGTCTGTAGTTGGTGATGGAACAATACACAGCAGTCACCAAACATGGGGTCTGGGAGGTTCCCAAACGAACACCACTACCATTTATGGAGTGCTCACTACATGTCAGGCACTGTGTTAAGTGCTTCTACATCACCTCATTTAATCATTTCCAAAACCCGATGAAGTGTATTATAATCCTTGTTTTATAGACGTGGTAACTGAGTTCAGAGAGGTTAAGTCACTTGCCTAGGGTCACACAGCCAGGAAGAGGCAAAGCTCAGATTCAAGCCCTGCACGGTCTGCCTTCATTCCCACTCTGAACTTGTTATGCAAGCATCACTTCAAACATTTAGAAAGAAGCTCAGCGGCTTGCCCACCCCCAGGGCAGAGATAGGAAAGGTCCAGCACTAGAATCTACCCATAGTAAACCCACACGGGTGGTGCTTTCTATTTGCCTCAAAGCTCAGACTTTCTCACCTGGACACAGTTGGCTTGAGGGCAAGGCAGCTAGAAGGATCTTAGAGGTGGTCTAATTCAATGACCTTGTCTTACACACGGGGGAACTGAGACTTGGAGAGAGAGAGGACTTAGAGAAAAGGGAAAAACTGACCTTGAACCCATTTGAGCTGCACAGTTGGAGCAATCCATGCATCTACCCATCTGCTCAGCTGATGATTATTGGAGGTCTACTCTGTGCCATGCGTTGTTCTTGGCACTGACTGGCACATGATTAACAATAATCCCAGTGCTCGTGGGGCACATGGTTGAGTCAGCTGAGCTGGGTGGGACATGGCAGGTGGTGGACAGGGTGTGCGTGTGCAATGGTTCACTTCTGAGGTCCCTTTCCTTCATAATTTTCTCTGATTTCTCTTTTTTTTTTTCCTCATGACTTGGAACTGGAGACAGCCTCTTTCTGGCAGATGGAATATCTTGGGACTGCTGGGGTCTGGACTGTGAGACCAGAGCTGTAAGTGGGGCTTCAGAAGCCCAGGAGTTCTCCAAATATGCCCGATTTCCCCCAGACCTGTCACTCCTCACCCAGGTCTGGCCACAGACTTCCTGGGAGCCTGTAGTGCAGAGGGACAGAAGGAAGCTGGACCCAGGGAGGGTCCATGATTCAGGAAGCCAAAGGCAGGGATGGGGGTCAAGGGCAGTGAAGCATACTTTGATGTTCAAGTTCACATCTAGAAATTTCCCCTAATGAGATAGTTGCACACATGTGGAAAGGGATGAGCCCAAGGAGGCTCCTTCCAGCATCACTGATAACTGGGGAACTGGAGAAAGTCAAAATGCTCATCAGGGGCTGAATGGTTAATGAATTATGCTGCATACAGACTATGGAACAATGTGAGTCATTTAAGAGAATAATGATGATATAGAATTCAAGTCTTTTGGTTTTAAGTAAACATAACTCAGTCTAGCTTAAGCTGGCTCAGTTCCTGGAGAGTCAGGAATGGGGTTGGGGTTGACCTTGGAGATGACCTTGTTCCGTCTCTCTCTCTCTCTCTCTCTCTCTCTCTCTCTCTCTCTC